GGAAGACCGCAAAAGAGCACTTACCAAGCGAGCCCTGTTCCGAGTGAACTGTAAAAGGACCAAGCATGACATGACTGTTCTCTGATTAGAACTAAAGCATTTTATCGAGCTCAGCGGATTTAAGGTCCTCAAGGAATTTACAATTAAGAAACGGTCGTTATAATAATTCAGGAGCAAACTGTAAAGCAATCGTATGGTGGTTTTTTCCTTCAATTCCCACCAATGAGAAGCCATCTTTTACAAGAATTGGGGAGCAAATAATTTCCTCTTTCAATTATGTGGTCTAAGCCAGTGCCAAATTGGGCCAGGTTTCCATGGACAGCTCTAGTTGCAACTTTCTCTGTGTTTTAGTTTCAGGACTATAAATTAACTTTGACACCAATAACTAATAAAGCCAGTTTAATAACTAATAAATAGTTAAAATGGAAAGACTATAATCTCAAAGCCACAATTCTCCTCAAATATGAGTAAATAAAACCTAATTTCAAGGAAAAAATTCAACGTTAGGTTCAGAATAGAATTATCACTTGTATTGGACTATCAAAGCTAGAAGCTCATTTAAGTTTATTTAGGATCACTAGAAAATGGAGGTTCCGGCTAGCTTCTTACTCAATGGATCCAACACCATCCCATTCCTACAAGCACCAACTTGCTACTAAGTACTACTAATAAAGCTGTACCTATGTTTCAAGCAGCAATTTATAGACTTAATTCCACACAAAACAGGACTTTAACGCACTTGAAGAAACCCAAGTTTTATTTGCACAAAGCAAAGCACAAGTACTTGTACACAAGTTTTGCATAATTATTCCAAAACTAGATCATTAAATAGAGTTTTCCAGAACCCACCAATGACCCACACCCAACTTACAACGCTCATCCTTGATTTGCACCAAGGATCCTACTTAAGGTGGTCACCATCGCAACTACCGCCCTCTCCACCAGCATTACTGCCTTCACCGTCGTCACGCTCTGCTCCTTGAATAGTGACATCAAGATCGTAACTCTCTCTTGCGCCACCAACAACCATAAAACCGTTAGCGAATTCAAAACAGAGTGTTCACCACATAGCCGGTTTAATGTTTAGTTCCAACAGTTGATCGTTTTTGCAATCCAATCAGTTCAACCGATCAAACTGAAGTAGCCTTCCGCTTATGAAAATATTGCAGAAAACTTTCCTTTTTATCGTAAACGCAGCCAAATCCTTCACCGTTCTCGCCAAAGTTGCCATCACTGTTCAGCATAGAAGTAATGTTGAGATAAAAACTAGCTTGAATGATATTTTGCTTAATTAAGAATTGGACAAGTGTCCATTTTGCTTTGGTGTACTGGTTTAATAGGCTGGATTGCTTGCTGCTGATATCTGTCCTTTGTACTTGTAAGCTTTGCATGTTTACCTTAATGCTTTGTTAAACACATGGTGATCTTGTACAAGTGTTAATCATGCATTATATACATATGAATGTATCTTTTCTTAGTTAATGATATGATCGATATCTTTTCTTCTATTCTCCATTGCCTTTACTTTCTTCTCTGCATTTTTGATACTTCTGTTATGATTTAATAAGATCATGATATCAGAGCTTTGAATCGATCCTTGAGTCACTTGAATATTTACAAGCAACCTTAAAATCCCATATTTCATCTACTATAACGAAACTCTTTTTTCAAACAATGTCAACTTCAACCTCAACTGTTTCACAGTCATTTTTTTTTATGGTTCAAACTACGCAATTTAGGCTATAAAAATAAAGGCATTTCTCAGAGGTGCTAATCTTTAGAATGCTGTTGAGTTTGAAACTGAATTACCAATGCTGAAGGAGAATGCCACGCAGGCACAAGTGAACAATATAAAGAAGACATTGCAAAGAGATATAGAGCTCTGTCCCTCATACATTCAGCTATGTCTAAATTAGTTTTTAACAGGATAATGGGATGTGAGAGAGCAAACCAGGCTTGGTGTAAGCTTAAGAAGGAGTTCTTGGGGTCTGCAAGAAGCAAACAGGTGCGTTTGCAAAATCTCAGAAGGAAATATGAGCTTCTAAGAATGAAAGAAAATCAAACTGTAGGTGAATTTGTTGAATAACTAATGAAACTGGTAAACCAGATCAGACTTATGGGAGACTCCTTTACTGATTCCAAAGTGGTAGAGAATATCATGTTAAGCTTACCAGAGAGGTTCGATCCTACAATCACTTCTTTGGAACAAGTAAAAGATATCTCAGAACTATCAATATCTGATTTGGTTAGTGCTTTGGAAGCTGATGAGTAGAGGAAGGCAGCAAGAAGTGATGATAGAGTTGATCATGCATTGGTAGCTCGTGCAAAAGGTAAAGCTCCTATTGATTCCTCATTTAAAAAGAATTCAAATGAAAACAAAGAAAAGGACAAAGCTAGTATAGCTATTGGAAGATTTCAAAATAAAAGAGGTAAGTTTCCAATCTGCTTTTACTATAAGAAAAGAAGCCATTTTGAAACCTATTGTTGGTTCAGACCTGGAGTCAATGTAATGCATGTAAGCAGCTTGTACATGTAAAAAAAAGTTTGTAAGAATAAAGCTAAGGTTGCAGATAAAAAACCTCATATTGTAAAACAAGTTGAGAAAGCTGAAGTTGTTGAGGAAGTCTTGTTCATGGCTATTGAAGATTCAAGCTCAATAGATAAAAACCAGTAGCTTCTTGACAGTGCATGTTTTATTCTTATCACTTCAAAGGCTGAGTTATTCTTTGAACTTGATACCGATTACTGTTCTTCAGTTAAAATTGGAAATGGCCTGTTATTGGATGCTATAGGGAAAGGAACAACAACAATCCAAACTGCTTCAGACACCAGGTATGTTTTAAATGTACTTTTGGTTCTTGCAATAACTCAAAATTTTTTGAGTGTTGGTCAATTGGTTGATGATGATTATATGTTGGTATTCAAAAATAATGCATGCACAGTTTATGAACCTTTTGGTGTCTACATGATGTCTGTTCCTATGGTGAGAAACTGTTTTCTTGTCAAATAGGGAAATATGTGTTTGTCTGCAATAGAGTGTTCATTGGAACAAACCTATTTACGACACAAAAGGTTAGGCCATTGCAATTATAAGTCTTTACTGCAAGCAAGTGTCTCTGGTTTGTTGTTGAATCTTCCTAAATTGCATGGAAATGGTCTTATATGCAACTCATGTTAGTATGGTAAGTTGACTAGAAAGCCTTTTCCCAAGTCAACTTTGAATAGAGTAGAAAATAAGTTGGACTTGGTTCATTCTGATGTTGCTGGATCTATGAGTAAACCCTCCTTAAATAGAAGCAAATATTTTGTTATTTTCATTAATGATATGTCTAGAATGACTTGGATTTATTTCATACAGCATAAGTTAAAAGTGTTGTCAGTGTTTCAGAAATTCAGAGCAAGAGTGGAAAATGAATTGGGTTACAAGATCAAGACACTAATTTGTAGTAGCTTTTTCAGTTCACGTGTGCTGACCAAAAAAATTTCAACATTACTCCTATGTACTAATTTACTTGTTCCTTTAGTTTTTTTCTCTTGCCCTCTTTTTTTTTTTAAATGAATTTTACTCAAGGAACAAGCAAGAGAGTGGGAAATTAATTTGGGTCATTTATTGTTTTCCAGTTTCAAAGAATAGAGGCAAATGTGCCATGATATTTGGATCAAACGCACAATGTCTAATATGTGGAAAAAGGAAGTTGACTTGGTCATCTCTCCACACTTTTGAAATTATTTGCCCTTTGCAAATTGCATATGGTTTGGAAAACTTTGTATCTTTTTAATGCCTAAATGCATCCATGATCATTTAGTGTCAAATCCTAGATGAAGTCCTAAAGAAATAGTTTTGTCTCAATTCGTAACACTACCATGTAGAATCTAATCTTGCAAATTTAATATCGTTTAGAAGAATCGGGCTTGGGAGCAAAGAAGGTTCTCTTTCAATTAGTAGGCCTAAGCCCTTGCCAAATTGGGTCAGGCTTCGATAGGCATCTCTAGTTGCAACTCTCTTTCTGTTTTGGTTTCATAATAACTTTTAAATTAAAAAAAAAAAACTAGGCTAAACAAGTTACAATTATCAATACATTAGTTAATAAGGGCATTCTCTTTGAAAAATTGAAAAAATTTTAACACAGAAAAATTAATGCAGTAGTCTATTTCCTTTAAGAGTAGTTCATGTCAACCCAAGTCTGAATTTCTCCTTACAACCATTTAATGTCTCATTTTTGTCAAGATTTTTCCACCACAGAACAACATCAGAATTGCTTAATACGATTACTGAACTAGCATTATGCCATTTCTACCAGCACCAGCTTGTTTTTACTAATAAAGCTGTATCTATGTTTCAATCACTTTCCTGCAGCAATTTATGTACTTAAATCCACACAAAACATGCCTTTAACGCACTTCGCTATAAGCATGGGTCCTCTGTTTTGGACTTTGGGGTTCATTTGGATTGTTGAAATTATTTATATTGACTTGCTTGTTTTAAATTTTATTTAAAATAGTTTCTTAATTATGGACAGGATAATATTTTTGAATAAGATCAAGGTATTTCTAAGTTTTACGTGTGTCTTGTGCATTCAAGATTTTATGCTCAAAATATTTCTCTTCAAGATCGAACTTGATAAAAAAAAAATACTCTTTTCTTTATTAACTGAATTAATCAGTGTGAAGTACAAAACATGAAAAAGAATAGAGAAATTGTATCAGTTACCTATTCATAATGAATTATGATAATCTGTATGACCTTTTCTAAAAAAAATTGATGAGAATTTATAGTGCATTACATGAAAAAAAAAAAATAGAAATAATATTTTAATTAAACTTAATCAATACTTGTAAATATATACCCGTTAATCGAATCCAAAGAATCAAAGGAACTTCAGTTAAGAAAAGCTTATCTAAATTTTGCCTTGGTCATTGATCTACTTAATTTTATACGTAAAGGAATAGAACGAGAATAACCTTGTTAAGCATAAGAGAATTTAATGTTTTCATCAATTGTTTCATTATAGTATATAGCATCATCCACCAAAAAAATATAAAGGAGTGCTTTCAGGAGACTGATTAACAAGTTATTTATGGAGGATTTCGCAAAATTGATAACACTTTTGACTGATGATTGCAACTGGTTAAACTGTACCAGTAAAACATCATAGTCCAAGAACACAAACAGGCTGATTCACCAAAAACGGAAAACAGTAACACTAGCCAGAAGCTACCGTTGGACTCAAACACAACAAATTATTCAAACTCTGACCTTAAGACCTGCAACATTACTTACTGGCACTAGAGAGGCGGTCACAGTTAAACGGGCTCCAACATCACCCTACTCATGGAGTCCACCATCGTGGCCACCGCCATAACCTCTGCTGTTTCCGCCTCCTCCACCACGATTATAACTGTTGTTGTCGCCATCAGCAGCCCTGCCACTGTTACAGCAAGGTTGCACTTGGTTCACAGTAGGGATATTATAGTTTCCATGGAGGTTGAGATCATTCATTCCTTGGATAGCTTCATTCATCAGGCGAACAGGATTGTTATCTGCTTCAGCGGTAAGCAGAAAATCGTCGACCAATTCTTGCATGCGTTTATTCGCCGCAATAAGTAGGTGGTTCACTCTTCTAATCTGCCGCAGTTCTTTCTTCTTCCATTTAACTCTGAGTTTCTTTGCCCTTAGCCACCTCGCCATGCGTCTATTCTCAGCTTTCCTCCTTGCCAATTCAACCCCCACATCCTCAAGAACGTTTGGTCCATTCTGATTGGGCAAGCAAAATATTCATATTACCAATCAAATTATATATTAACAAAAAAAAGAGAGAAAAGCCCATGTACCACCAAAAATAGGAAAAACTAAGTTGCAAGGTTAAACATGTCTTTAAACTCTAATAGAAAGTTTAATCAATAATTTTTTATTGTTACTTTATAAAATAAATAAAATTTACATTTTGAAAAATCTATAATCCAAAAGAATTGAAATTTTATTGTAAAACTATGTTTAAAGACATTTAGAATTGAGTGTTGTGGACTTACTTAGAATTTAGAGTTTGGATTTTCAAATTTAAAATTTTAGTTTTAGGATTTAAACTAACATTGATTTCTTTTCCTTTTCAAATCTCAAAATTTTATATTTATGACTCTCAACGCAAAATAAATTTTGAAATTTTAAAATATATAGAATTTTATTAATATAAATTTTCTGTCTCATGGTTTCAACGAGAGTCGAGTCCTATTGAGAGTCGAGTCCTATTGGATATCATGGTTTTAATGAGAGTGAGATTGAGTGTCATGTTTCAATGTGGAGTCATGTGAATCTCATATCGAGAAGATTATATGCTCTCAATAAGTTGAGCCATAAATCTCATATAGAAGAGAAGTTCTTAGAGTGAGAGTTAAGAGAGAATTTTATAATTTTAGAGAAAGTCATAAATTTCATATTAATTATGCATTAGAATGGCACTGAACATCACTTTCAACATGTGATATATTCAAAGTGTCTTACCGAGAGCAAAGCGAACAGGGGAGCTAAGGAAGGATGTTGATGTGGGATCAAGGGAAGATTCCAGGAGCCAAGGGAGGATATGTTAATGTGGGAGCCAAGAAAAGACCTCGCAGAGTAGGCAAGAGAGGATGTCATGATGAGGTCATGGATCTCAACCAGTGCAAAAGTGAACAAAGGAGCCAAGGGAGGATGTCGATGTGTGAGCCAAGGGAAAGATATGTCGATGTGAGAGCCAAGGAAAGATCCCAAAGGAGAGCCAAGAGAGGTTGTCAATATGGAAGCTAAGGGAAGGATGTCATGGTGAGATCAATGGTCTTAGCCAAAGCAAAAGCGAACAGAGGAGCTAAGGGAGGATGTTGATGTGGGAGTCAATGGAAGATCCCAAAGACGAGCCAAGGGAAGATGTCATGGTGAGGTCATGGATCTCAATTACAGCAAAAGTGAACAAAGGAGCCAAAGGAGGATGTGGATGTGGGAGCCAGGGAAAATACCAGAGAGGAGCTAAGGGAAGGATATGCCAAAGCAGCCAAGAAAGGATATTGATGTGGAAGCCGAGGGAAGGATGTCATGTTGAGAAGTGTCACGATCCACACCAACCTGTGAGATATTGTTCGTTTGGATTCGTTGACTAAGGTTGGTATTATCCATTCTAACTCATGGTTTTATCTCATAAAAAATATCCAAGCTAAAAGTGATATGAACCCGTATCACTTTAATAAATAATCAATGTGAGATTTGTAGTTCTCTCTAAGATAATGGGATCCATATGTTAGAAGTTTCTCTTCGATGCGCGAGATTTTGTAACCCTCTCCGCTGAGAGCATTATCTTTACGATATGAGATTCA